GCAATCCTGACTGAGATGCTTAAAGAACAGGGTTCTTGGTTCTTGATTCTTGGTAAAGTGGACAGTTGAGTCTTGGGTACTTGAAACCGATGAGTCATGACCTTGGTCGAGGGGAAGGAATGTCATTTTAGCTGACATGCTATATGGGCAAACGATGTAGGTTCCATCACCTCAGGTTGCTGAGGTAATAAAACCTAAGGGGTAGTTATGGGGACATATTTTGTGAATGACAAGACGTGGCCAAGGTGACACCAAAGTGTCAGCCGAGGTGCCACGTGGCCTGGTCATGATGCCGAGGTTATCTTAGCTAGGCCAAGGTTATCTGCGGAAATACCGAAATCTGAGATAATCGGATAAGGGGCAAGAGTCCTAGAATAGAGGAGGATCTCAGTCTGGATAAAGATAAAACTCTTAAGGAGTTTATCCCTATCTAGCTGAGAGTCTAGGATGAGCATTGAGCCTAAGTCCACTGAAGTGAGGCTCCTACAGGGATTAGGTCAGTACTAGCTATAAAAGCACGGCACCCCGTGGGCCTGAGGTATGTGTGATATACTGTGAGCAGTAAGTGCTTTCTTGTGAGTTAAGCATAATTTGCTATCTTTGAGAGATATTTGATTACTGACTTGATCGTCAGAATACCCCTGAGTGGACGAACCACCGCCAGATTCTTATCTTTCTGTAATAAGTTATTCGGGCTTAATCTATTCTGCCGGTGCTCTCCAGCTGAGTTCCCCGTTTGGTTGTGTAGTCAGAAATCAACACCCACACATTAAAATTGACATCTCATCCAAATTATAAAAGTTTATATATTTGTTTTGTTAAGACAATTGTATTTTATTATAAGTTTATTCTACTTTAAATTTGAGAAATTCAAATGTTAATTTGTTTATAATTTTTTTTTTCCCGGTCATAAAATGCGTGGAACTTAAGTTTTTGGAGTGACCTATCTATCAAGATTTCTAGAGTCGCCACGGAGGGCAAGTACAAATATTGTGTCAAATTAACAAATAATATAAGGTAAATTACAAAACACACTATGCAAATTTGCTTGAATGAATTGCTCCTTAGAGCATCTTCAACCCATAGAGAATGAAAATACATTTTTTTATTCACCAACTCTAATCACAAATCTTCATTTTCTTCTCTAAAGATTTTTCTCCAAAATATTTACCTTAAAAAGTGAATAATTTTTGTTCATTAATAAATTTTTAATTTTCAAATTTTTGTTCAATATATTTAATAGAGGAAATTTCATTTTACCCCCACATTATACCTTGATGATCAATTTAACCCCTATATTTATTATAATTTCAATTTTATACCTAAATTATTTGATTTTGGATCAATTTTATCCCTTCCGTTAAATGCCTTTTATAATCAAATGGAAGTTGCTACCGTGGCACTGAAATTTCATTTGAAATTTTATTTTGTCCCCCAAACTATCTCAAAAATATCAATTAGACTCCAAACTTCATATTGTTTAGGGGTCTGATTGTTAATTTGGGGGTAAAATGATATCTCAAATGAAGACAATAGCAAAGCCGTCTAATTATAGACAACAGCTAACAGCAAAGGTGAAATTGATCCAAAATTGAATAGTTTAGGTGTAAATTTGAAATTATAAGAAGTACAAGGGTTAAATTGATTATCGAGGTATAATTTAGAAGATAAAATGATATTTCCTCTATTTAATATTAAACTCATTTTAAAGATATAATTTTGCTCTTTTTAATGATATCAACTTTATAAAAGTTAAATATACATGTTAAAAGTTATTTGTATTTTATAACATGAAAATGGTTTTAGAGAACGGGTTGGAGGAATAAATCCTTCATATATAAAGATATAGAAGGTGGATTAGAGATGTTCTAATGAAGTTATTATAATTGGGAAAATTTCAATTCAGGATGATTTTGAAAAATAATTACAAATAAGCAGTAAATTTTATAAATATTAATAATTAAAAATATTATTTTTTCCATAAATTTATAATAATTTTATGAAACTATCACTCATCCATAATTTTCCCATTATAATTTAGCAATAACAATTACAGTCATGGAGTTAGTTTTTCTAACAACTGTTTTTATTTTCTATCAAAATTTTCTTTTAAGGAAAATGTTTGGTGGCCACAAATTATGTGGCTCAAATGGCCCGAAACTGTCAAAACGACGTCGTTTTGCACCCAAAACGATCGTTTTGAATGTTTTGAGCCATTTGAGCCACAGAATTTGTGACCACCTAGCATTGCTGTTCTTTTAAAGTCCCACTAGCTAGCTGCCACTCAAGTAAAAGGAAAGGAAATGAAGAAAAATGTTGCAAAATGGTCGCAAATAACCATTTTAGCGACGGTATATTTGCTGCCTCAAATAAATATTTTTTGCGACGGTATAAACCCCATCGCAAATAGCCATTTTAGCCACGACACCACAGTGCTGTCTCAAAAACTTGAAATTTCTACACATTAATGGCGACAGTATTTTGCCATTGCTAAAAGGCATTTTTGCCGTCGCCTATATTTTGCAACGGCGTCACACCGTCGCTAAAGGCCTTTAGCAACCCCCTTTGTTGCGACCCCCCTCTTACCGTCGCTAAAAGCTATATGCCGTCACAAAAAAACTTTTGCGACGGGGTTTTGGGTATTTGCGACCGTATTTTACCGTCGCAAAAAAGCAAATTTTTTGTAGTGGGGTATTAACATTTTAGGTGAGGAGAGGCTACCCTAATCCAGTGCTGGCTACAAGTCTCAGCGAGGACTTACATTGAACTTATAAATTGCCTATCAATGAGGACCGTTGGCAATAGAAATCAAACCTAAGTCTTAAAGGCGAAAAATTTGATCATTACCAACTCAACCAAGCTCTGTCGGTTTTATTTAGTATTGTTAGACTCATGCAAATGTTATTTATTTTATTTTTAGAAAGTATCACATAAAATTTCTTATATGAATTCCATTGTAAAATGTAAAAACAAATTAGTTTGTCAAATTTTAACTATAGCTAAATTTCGTGTGATATTAAAATATAACATCAAAAATTAACTAATTATTGAAGTACTCATAACTGAGATTCGTGTTATTTTTTAACAAGAAATTCTAATGGAAAAACTAAAAATGGCTTTACCAAAATTATTTTTTTTTTTTTTTAGTCAAAGTATAATGTTGAAAAATATAACTTACCTTTGAAAAAAAATAAAATACTTCAAAACAACAGAAACACATAAGATAAATTATAAGGCATTTCAACCTTTCAATTTGAAAGGCATGGTTTTAAATCCAATTATGTCTACCCGGTCATTGTGTTTCTCTATTTCTCTAGGTTTATCTTCTTGTTTTCAATAATGCAAAATTTATATTACGTTATCCAACATTTATATATATATATATATATACATATCCAAAAGGCGAGTATTATTTATTTATAAAGAGGTGTTGGCTACGCAATGTGGGTAGCCATCCCATGTTTGTCAAAAAGTACCATAGGTAGTACAAAATAGCTATGTGGATACAAACCAAGCGAGCTTAACAGTGAGGAAAGAGCTTGCTTGGCCAACCCATTAGTAACAAAATTCGCCTCTTCACTACAAAAAAAAATTGACTTTTTGCGACGGAAAATACCGTCGCTAATACTTCTAATGCCGTCGCTAATACTTTTTGCGACGGAAAAAAGAATTTTTGCGACGGCAAAGAGGGGGTCGCAAATGAAGGGGTTGCAAAAGAGTTTTTGCGACGGCACCGTGCAGTCGCTAATAACGTTTGAAATTTCTTGACTTTTTTGGGACGGCCCTATTTTACCGTCGCTAAAAATATTATTTGAGACGGCAAAAAATACCGTCACTAATAGTCTTTTTTTTTTTTTTTGACAAAAACACTGTTTTTTGCGACGGTGTGGTGCCGTTGCAAAAAGTATAAAAAATACGAAATTTTCTATTTTTTGCAACAGTGTAATGCCGTCACAAAAAATATTAAAAAATAATAAAATTTCTATTTTAAATAATAAAATTTCTATTTTTTGCGACAGTATAATGTTGTCGCAAAAAGTAAAACCTGTAACAAAATTAATAAAAATATTAAAATTTTCTATTTTTTCCAACGGTGGTGCCATCTCTCACTCTCTAAAATATGCTCTAAGCTGATTATTTACATTCCATTCACAAAAACATCATAAATGAAAATAAAAATAAAAATAAAAATAAAAATTGATAAAATCATCAAATTCAATATTTTACAAAGAACAATTAAACTGTACATGTTCATAAAAGCATATATAAGATGAGATTCAAGCCTATTTATTTAATTAAGATGAGATTCAAGCCTAGACGGGCTCATGGTATGCATCCTTAGTCCAATAAGATGAGATTCAAGCCTATTTATTTAATTAAGATGAGATTCAAGCCTAGACGGGCTCATGGTATGCATCCTTAGTCCAATAAGATGAGATTCAAGCCTATTTATTTAATTAAGATGAGATTCAAGCCTAGACGGGCTCATGGTATGCATCCTTAGTCCAATAAGATGAGATTCAAGCCTATTTATTTAATTAAGATGAGATTCAAGCCTAGACGGGCTCATGGTATGCATCCTTAGTCCAATAAGATGAGATTCAAGCCTATTTATTTAATTAAGATGAGATTCAAGCCTAGACGGGCTCATGGTATGCATCCTTAGTCCAATAAGATGAGATTCAAGCCTATTTATTTAATTAAGATGAGATTCAAGCCTAGACGGGCTCATGGTATGCATCCTTAGTCCAATAAGATGAGATTCAAGCCTATTTATTTAATTAAGATGAGATTCAAGCCTAGACGGGCTCATGGTATGCATCCTTAGTCCAATAAGATGAGATTCAAGCCTATTTATTTAATTAAGATGAGATTCAAGCCTAGACGGACTCATGGTATGCATCCTTAGTCCAATAAGATGAGATTCAAGCCTATTTATTTAATTAAGATGAGATTCAAGCCTAGACGGACTCATGGTATGCATCCTTAGTCCAATAAGATGAGATTCAAGCCTATTTATTTAATTAAGATGAGATTCAAGCCTAGACGGACTCATGGTATGCATCCTTAGTCCAATAAGATGAGATTCAAGCCTATTTATTTAATTAATCGATAGTTTAGTTGACGTGGTGTTGAAAAACTGTCACACTATTGACCAAAATTAATTGAATATTTCATCTGAGTCCAAACAATACAAACATTTTAAAAAATATCATATACAGGATACTCACAATGACACGGGGAGGGCTTGTCAATCCACTAGAGGCCCTTTTTTCTTTCAAAAGAGCAGCCTGTTTCTGCTCCCTCATCTACGAAAAAAAAATGCAATCTTGCCTTTAGGCAATGACAATATTATCTTTTATTCGATGAAAAGCTACAAATACAAGACCCTTAAGAGTAAAAAGTAATATTGTATTGCTGGTTTGAACACATAAAAGCTATGTCCTTGTACATCTGATATGGTAATGACCCATTGGACTGAACTCACCTGCGAGCCTTCCATATCAATCATATTTCCATTGGCCAGAATAGTATCAACAACTTGTTCGTTGTCAAATACAACAAATCCAAAGCCCCAAGAGCGTTTAGTGACATGGTCTCTTATGATCTCGTGTTCCACTACCTTTCCATACTTTGAGAAGAAATTCTTGAACTCATCTGAGAAGAATGGGGAACCAGTTTAACCAGGATAACAACAATAGCAGAAGAACATGCAAATTAAAATGTGCAATCCCAGACCGTGATCTAGGGGCAAAAAAGAAAGTAAATACCACACCTTCAGTGACAGAGGTAGGTATCCCACCAACAAAAATCTTCTTCGTTTTAAAATCCTTAGATTCAGCAGAACCTTTCGGAATTGTTCTTTTGATCTCAACCTGCTCAGAAATTTGACCGTGTAAGTTGCAATGCCTAAACCTTCTGACAGAAGATATTATCACGGTCAAAGTTCTATGCACTTTCAGAAAAGTGGAGAGATTCTCCAGCAACTCACCAATCCAAATCTCCACAATAATAACAAATTTTATTGACAAAAATTATAGAGGCATCCTGGATACAATTCATCATAAGTCAAGCATCAGTCAAAAAACAGTACTTCACATCGCAGCACAGCTATGTCCTCAATGGCAAAACAACAGTTCAACCTGCTTCCAAACTAACCTAACCCTGTGCAGTAATAGGTAGTATGCCAAGCATTCTTTTGTTTTCCGACTTTCACAGCAATCAAGCAGAAAGCATTTCTCCATTGGCCCGTGATAAAGGGAAATCACATTGTTCACAGAGAATTTTAAACATAGTTATCGGTTAATAATGCATTTGCCAGTAAACTTCATTTATTCATTATTTTTCATGAGCAGCCTTATACAATATAAACCCAAAAAAAAAATGTAAAATGGGTTACTTTTCATTGCTTAGGATCTTGGGATATTAAAACAAAATTACCTGACACTAATCTAACTATTTCGTATATATTTTCCAAACCAACACCAGAGGGAGATAAATTTCCAAGCCAATCTTGAAACAAACACATTTATTTGGGTGGGTACATAGAGGAAGTCTTGTGGAGAACAAAAATTAAATAGAAATTTAAGAGAGTAAGCTTCTGTTTACTTTGGCACGGAATGTTTATTACTTCAAGTTTCAAGTTCAAAGGCACTAAACAAGATGTAAAGTTAAGGAAAAGCATCAAATTTTCTGTTTTTCTTCTCTCTTCGCCACAGTTTTTCCTATCAGGAAAAACAGCAAAACCCAGAAACACAAATGCACAAAGATTTTTCTTCCAAAGTAAATAACCCAAGTGAGGAAAAGCACCTATTTGTCATTGATGACATGGGTTTCAGCAATAACAGTGTCAACAACAAAAGGATCAGCATAGGTGATAAACCCAAAACCCCTGGGTCGACCAGTGTGCCGATTTTTCATTATAACCGAATCTGTAATCTCCCCGTACTTTCCAAAGTACTTCGTGAACTGATCTGCACTCACACACCACCCCCAATCACACAAAACAAACATCAAACAAGCATATCATAATGTAAATTGAAGAATTTGCCATCAAACAAAACAATCTAGATATTTTTGCAGAAGCAATTGAAAGAAGAATGAGCTGACCTAATGTAGTGTCTTTAGCTAAACCCCCGATGAGATTCAAGCCTATTGTTCAAACCAGCAATACAATACATAGCTTTGATGAGATTCGAAGAGAAACATAGAACCAGAGAAAAAGAGAAACAAAGAACCAAAGAAACATAGAACCAAAGAAAAAGAGAAACAAAGAACCAAAGAAACATAGAACCAGAGAAATTCGTTTGCTGGTAATGGCTATCGAGAGAGAAGCGAAGGACTCCGACAATAGTCGTCGATGTCTGGCTTCCTTCATTCACTGGTGCTCGTGGCTCGATGCCATCGTCGCCCATGCTCACAGTCGCAAGAGAGAGAGAGAGAGAGAGAGAGAGAGAGAGAGATATTTGGTAGAAATTAGGGATTTTGGTTCTAAGAGATTGGAGATTTTGGGGGGCGCGGGAATGGAAAAAATGGGGGGAACCGAGCGGGCGGGATTGAGAAAAAAAAATAAAAAAAATTAATTTTCATCATAAATGAATATTTAAATAATAAAAATAAATAAATAATAATTGTCATTTTCTTTTCGTTATTAAGGTTGAAAATTTATTTGTTTCATTTTTATTTTAATGAATAAAAAATTATTATTATTTTTTATTTGGTAGAAGTAAGGATAATATTTTAATAAAAAATATTTTCTATTAAGAGTGATGAATGAGAGAGAGAGACGGAGAGAGAGAGAGAGACAAACAGACAAAGAGAGAAAGAGATAGAGAGAGAGAAAGAGACAGAAAAAGAGAGAGACAGAAAAAAGAGAGAGAAACAAGAGATGAGCGATACAAAAAGAGAGAGAAAGAGAGTGAAAAAATATAAACGAGAGAGAGAATAGAAAAATAGAGAGATAGAGAGAAGAGAGATGAGCAAGAGAGACAGAGAGAGAGAGAAAAAAAGAGAAATGAACGAGAGAGACAGAGAGAGAGAAAAGAGATGAGAGAGATAGAGAGAAGAGAGATGAGCGAGAGAGACAGAGAAAGAAGACAAATGAGAGAGATAGAGAGAAGAAAGATGAACAAAAGACATACAGACAGACAGACAAACAAACAGACAGACAGATAGACAAACAGATAGAAAAAAAAGAGTGATGAGTGAAAGAAAGAAAGAGAAGAGTGCTGGTAGTTGAATGGCATTTGCAGTAGTGGTAAATGTAGCAGAGAATATGGGTGGTGAGAGAGAGAGAGAGATTGGTGAGAGACGAATAGAGAGACAGAGAAAGAGATAGAGTGATGAGCAACAAAGAGACAAAGTGGTTGCTAAAAGTGCATTTTCTTGTAGTGGATCGATAAATCGAAAGGGAGCTCAATAAATAAAGAAGAGATGAGGGAGAGAGTGAGCAAGGCGAACACAGTGGGGGAGAGAGAGAGAGACAGACAGACAGACAAACAGACAAGCAGAGGAGAGAGAAGAGTGATGAGTGAGAGAGAGAGAGACGGAGAGAGAAAGAGATAGACAGAAAAAGAGAGAAACAAGAGATGAGCAAGAGATAAACAAAAAGAGAGAGAAAGAAGATTAACGAGAGAGACATAGAAAAAAAAAAAAAAAAGAGACAGAGAGAGTGGTAATGGTAGTGGTCATAGTTTCACCCATTGATTTAAGTATGGTATTTGTTTTGAGCTTTCAAATCATAATTCTACATCCATTTTCAAAACTCAATTCAAAATATAATCATTACTTTTCGAAACTCATAACCAAACACATAATTCAAAACTCTTTTCAGAACTTAATTCAAATCAATTTTTTAAATATTTAAATATTTTAAAAATATTTTAATTTTGTGAGAGACAAATAAAGAAGAGAGATAAAGATAGAGACAGAGACAGAGAGAGACAAAGTGGTTGCTAAAAGTGTATTTTCTTATAGTGGATCGATAAATCAAGAAGGAGCTCGATAAATAGAGACGATGGGAGTAAGAGAGTGAGCAAGGCGAACATAGTGAGAGAGAAATAGACAAATAGACAAGTAGATAGAGAGAGAGAGAGAGAGGAAAGTGATGAGTGAGAGAGAGATAGACAGAAAAAAGATAGAGGGAGAAAGAGAGAGAGATATAGAGAGAGAGATAGAAAAAGAGAGAGAAACAAGTTATGAGCGAGAGATAGACAAAAAGAGAGAAAATAGAGCGAAAAGAGATGAGCGAGAGAGAGACACAGAAAAAGAGAGAGACTGAGAGAGAAGAGAAATTGGCGAGAGAGATAGAGGGAGATAGAAAGATAAGAGAGAGAGAAAGAGAGAGAGAAAAGAAATGAGAGAGATAGAGAGAAGAGAGATGAGCGAGAGAGACAAAGAGAAAAAACAGATGAGAGAGATAGAGAGAAGAGAGATAGGCGAGAGACACAGAGAGAAAATGAGAGAGAGAAACAGACAGAGAAAGAAGAGTGATGAGTGAAAGAGATAAAGAGAAGAGAGAGAGATAGAGACAGAGAGACAGGAAGATGAAAAAATGAATGAAAAGAGAAATGTTATATCAAAAGAGTAAGACAACATTGTTTTTTTTAATTTTTTTTGCGACAGAAAAATACCGTTGAATTTATTCAAACCATTTTGTGACTGTATATATATGAAGCTATCTCAAAACCACAATCACCAAAATCTTTTAAAAATTCACTAAATACCAAAAATACAATAATTCAATACATTTTTTTTTCTCTCGCTCATCTCTTTTCTCTCTATCTCTCTATTTTTCTATTCTCTCTATCATTCATCTCTTTACGCTCTCTTTCTATATGTCTCTCCCATCTCTTGTTTCTCTCTATTTTTCTATATGTCTCTCTCTATCTATTTCTATCTCTGTCTCTCTGTCTCTCTCACTCTATATCTCTTTCTCTCTTTATCACTATTTGTGACGGCACACTTGCCGTCTCAAAAAGTCACTTTTTGCGACGACAGAAAATGCTGTCTCAAAAAAGTAGAGTATTTGCGACAGCACCATTTGCCGTCGCAAAAAATGAGAGTATTTGCGACGGCACAATTTGCCGTCTCAAAAAATGAGAGTATTTGCGACGGCAGAAAATACCGTCGCAAATACTCTCATTTTTTGAGACGGCAAATTGTGCCGTCGCAAATACTCTGCTTTTTTGAGACGGCATTTTCTGCCGTCGCAAAAAGTGACTTTTTGAGACGGCAAGTGTGCCATCGCAAATAGTTCCGTCTCATATGCTCACTTTTCTTGTAGTGCTTGGTAAACACGATGGAGTTGAACAGTCCATTTGCGCCCCAGGAGTAACTTGCAGTCATCAACCAAAGATTGAATCTACGGTGAAGTAACAAGATTAGAAGTAAGGAGAAAATAGGTGACAAATGAATCTACTTCTAACTCAAGCAAACAGTATCCTTGTTGCCATGCAAGTATTAATCCTGTGCGGATAACCCATAATTCAGCAAAGATACTTGTAGAATTTCCTATATTTTGGCTAAAACCTAGCAACCAGTCGCCCAAATGATTTCTAAGAACACCCGCAATGCTTGCTGGACCCGATTGTCCTAGCGCACATCCATCCCTGTTTAGTTTGACATAGCAAGTTGAGGGCGGTTTCCATTTTACCCATAGAGTATGAGTGATGGTAGGAATATGATTTTTGTAGGCTAAATGAAAGTATTCAACAGATTGTGTAGGCTATATAATTTGTAAAAACCAATCACAATTTAACACGTGGCACGAAGAGGGTAATTTGGAAAGTTAATATAAGTTGTCAACCAAAGTCAGACACGTGGTAGTTTGTATTGGTAATACTGGATCTGCGTAGCACTGTAACAATCGAGGGATATAAGGTGATGTGGCCTAACGGTTACTCACAAAATTTAAATTCAAAATCAGGAAGGAAGCCTAACTGCAAAAGTGGCGTAGTGGGACTGACTATGAAAAAGCATGTTCAACAATCATGGGAGGACATTTCGATGGTTGAAAATCCACTTCGACGGTTATCATTGAAAAGTATAAATGGCAGAGAAGGCCCAGAATGAAGGACCCAGACTCAAATCAAAAAACCAGTTTATTTACTTCGTTTTTCCTTCCAGTTTTTATAGTTCTTTACATTTCAGCACTTCAATTCTTGTACTGCACTTCATTTTCTAAGAGTAATTTCAAATAGTTTGTTCCTGTAAACCTCTACGAGGCTGGGTTAGATCATTGTAA